GGCCGGACCGCCCGCACCCCCAGGCCAGGCGCCCTGCGACGTGAGGGAGGAGGACGCCGGGGACAGCAGAGCGGTGCCAGGAGCACGCGGAGCGGCCGGCTCGGCGGAGGGAGTGTGCGCGCGTGCGTGTGCGTGGGTGTGTGTACGTGTGTGCGCGTGCGTGTGCGTGGGTGTGTGTACGTGTGTGCGCGCGCGCGTGTGTGCGTGGATGTGCGGGTGTGTGCGCGTGTGTGTGCGCGCGTGTGTGTATGCGCGCGGGTGTGTTTTCTGGACGGTGACGTCACGTTGACTCACTCCTGGGGGGGAGGTAACATTTTTTAAACTTCCAATTATATTGATTTAGTTAATTTGGAATCTTAAGAAAAGCAGAAAGTTAAAAAAAACCTGTTACAGGAAAAACAAACACCACATGATTTCAGTCATATGTGGACGATAAATGAACATACGGATAAAGAGAACAGGTTGGTGGTTACAAGAGGGGAAGAGGGTGTGGGGAGGGCCAAAGCGGTAAAGGGGGGCACATATGTATGGTGACGGATAAAAACTAGACTATTGGTGGTGAGCACCATGCAGTCTATACAGAAACTGATATATAACAATGTACACCTGAAATTACACAATGTTATAAACCATTATGGCCTCAATAAAATAATTGGGGAAAAAACCCTGTTACTTATAATCTCACAATCAAAGACAAATCCTATAGATAGATAATAGATAGATAGATGGTAGATAGAGATCATACATACATGATATATAGATACAGATATAGGTGGATGGATATAGATAGAGTGTGTGTGTACATATACACACATAAATATATAGAGATATAAATTTCCTCCCAGTCTCCTAGTCTTTCTCTTTTTTCTTTAGTACAAGTGTTAAGTTTTCTTCTGATTTTAAAAATAATATATACTCATTGTAGAGCATTTGAAAAACACATAAAAATATCAAGAATACAAATATCACCAGAGCTCCTGTTCCCCCAAGGTAGCAACTGTTAATTTTTTCTGTGTGACCGCCTGTGCTTTATTTAGAAGATGTCCTTCAAAATATGGCGCCAAGGTGGGGCACAGTGATGACAACCAAGGTCTCTGGTGTTGGAAAGTAGGGACTCTGGTCTGGTGCAAACAGGGAAACTGAGGCCACAGAGGATACAGAGCTGTACGTGTGAGCGCCCGCCTGTCGTGATTCCTTGGTCCCTCCCCCAGCCTCACAGGGTGTCCTCCTGTCACCTCTCCCTACAGCTGGGGAAACCGAGGCTCAGACACATGCAGTCACTCGCCCAAGGCCACACAGTAAGAGGAGACAGAGCTGGCATTGGGTCCCAGGCCTGGGGACTCCACCTGGACAGCGCCTGGTCCACAACCCCCAGACCTGAGCCAGTCCTTGGGCGGGCTCCACGTCCCTCCTGACCCCTTTCTCTGTGCCGACTGAGCCTGGCCTGAGATTCTCACTTCAGCCTGACAGCCCTGGGGTGGGGTGAGGCGCCTCTGTTCACAGCAGTGTCTTGGGTGGCAGGAGGACGAAGCCCCCTGCACCGCCTGGGGCCCCCTGGACCCTCAGAGTGGACCCAGCTGCTGCCCCTGAGTTCCAGGACAGATTTCCAGGAAAAATAGCCATCTGCTGCCCCCTAGAGCCTGGAATCTCAGCCACTCTGTCACATCTGTGGATTCTCCAGCTGGAATGAAGAGGGGACAGGCCTGTCAGCCCCACCACTCCAGGGGGCCAGGACCCTGACTGCGGCAGGCACGGGACTGGGTCGGCCAGAGGTGAGGGACCCATCGGAAGATGCTCTTGGAAGACAGAGGCCTCCCGTGCACACTGCCGTCCAGAAGAGGACTGGTGTCCTCATCAAAGCCTTGGGGGAGAAGCATGGTAGTGCAGGGCGAGGGAGGGTACACACACTGTGCACACTCACACACATCTATACACCGATACACATACAGTCACACCCTCACACATAGGCTAGGCCGGGCGTGGAAATAGCACTGGAGTGAGAGGGGCCCAGGTTCTGTAAATATCTAAGAATTAAAAATAAGATGTGATAGAGAACCCGGAAACAGACCCACATGAACAGGCCCGCTGATTCCGACAGGGGAGCAAAACCATCTCATGGGGGGAGGATGATCTTCAGCCAATGAGCATCCAATGAAAACAAACCTTGACCTGAACTTCACCCCTGATATCAGCTCAGTGTGGACCACAGATTTAAATGGAAAACGGAAAACTAGAAGTCTTTTAGAAAAAAGATAGGAGAAGATATTTGGGATCTGGGGCTGGGCACAGAATTCTTAGGGTTGACACCAAAAGCACCGTCCATAAAGGAAATTTGAGAAACTGGACTTTGTGAAAATTAGACACTCTTGCTGTCTGAAGGACCCTGCTAAGAGGATGAAAAGGCAAACTACGGAGGAAATGTTTACAAACCATATCTCCAACAAGGACTGGTTCCTATAATATGTAAAGAACTCTCAGAACTCAACTGTTAAGTAAACAAACAATCCAATTAGAAAATGGGTGAAAGATGAAGAAACTTTTCATCGAAGAGGATGTTCAAATGGCAGATAAGCAGATGAAACGGTGCTCAACATCATTACCCATTAGGGAAATGCAAATTAAACCCACGATGCATCACTACACACCTGGGAGAATGGCTAAAATGAAAAATAGTGACACCACCAAATGCTGGGAGGATGCAGAAAAACTGGATCCTTTATGTGTGCTGCTGGGAATGGAAAATGGTGCAGCCACCCTGGAAAACAGTTGGGCAGTTGCTTAAAAGACGAAACATGCAGTTACCAGAGAACTCCGCAGTTGCACTCCTGGGCAAATTTATCCCACAGAAATGAGGACTTATGTTCACACAAAAACCTGTACACGAGTGTTCACAGCAGCTTTCTTCGTAATAGCCAGAAACCGGAAACAACCCGGATGTCCTTCGAGGGGGGAGTGGTGAAACAAGCCGTGGTCCATCCATACCGTGGATGCTGCTCTGCAAGGAAGAGGAAGCGATTATTGATGCACACCGTGACCTGCGTGGCTCACTTGAATCACGCTGACTGAAACAAGCCAGTCCCGACGATTCCATGCTGTCTGATCTTGGTGACGGGGCAGTCTCGAGAGGACAGAGTTATGGACATGCAGAACAGTAGTGGCAAGGGAGTCGGGTGTGGTGGGGCGGCGGCTGTGGCTGTTGAAGGGCAGCCCGTGTCACGTGGTGACAGGCTCTTCCTTTCTCCTCTTTGCACTCCCTGTTTTCTCCACGTTGAGAATGTACTACTTTCCTGATTAGCAAGAAGGGGACAAGTTATTTTAACTGAGTACAACGTTTCAATAGTTAAATGTGCATCAGTCTAGCCACTGGTGGGCAGGGACACGGGCCCCAGAAGAAGGGTGTGGCTCCCTGCCCAAGGCAAAGCCACCATCCCAACTGCAGTCGGAGGCGCCTTCCGCTCCCCAGGATGAAGCGCAGAAAACCCCTCCATCCCGGGAGCAAGTCGTCTGGAGACCCCCCTCCCCTGCACCCCATGAGGCCTTTACACCCACAGAGCTTGGACGGTGAGCCGGCCCACCGAGTTCTGGACTCACAGAGCCTCCATCTTCTAACCCATCAAGTGGGGGGCAGCACACCCCCTCACGCGTCAGGTTCCTGAGGCTGTGGGAGCAAGTGCTCACACACGGGGGCTCAAAACAGCCAGATCTCTCCTCTCACGATCGGGAGCCCAGAAGTCTGAAATCCAGGCCTCAGCAGGGCCCAGCTCCCTCCGGGGCTCGAGGGCGGGGTCCTTCCCTGTCTCTTCAGCTTCTGGGGGCCCCGGTGCTCCTGGGCGTGTGGCCGCATTGCCCCAGTCTCTGCCTCCGTCTTCACTCGGCCTCCTCCCCACTGTCTCAAATCTCCCTGTCCTTTCTCAGGATGCCAGTCGTGGGATTAGGGCCCTTCCTGCTCCAGTGCGGCCTCATCTTAACTAATTCCATCTGCAGAGACCCTACTTCCAAATAAGGTCACCTTCTGAGGTTCCAGGTGGACGCGAATTCCAGGGTGGGGACACTGTTGAACCCATGATACCACAATCGTGGAGAAAGTTAAATGAACGTAATTTATGTAAAAGTGTCCTATCAATTTGTGAGGCTTGGCAGGTGTAAAGGAAGAGGATTGTTCAGTGGTTAGTGATGGTCCTGTTCCCTCCTTGATCGCTAGGAAATGGTTTTCTGGGTGTTCCTTTTGGGGATGGGTGGCGGGAAGGGATGACAGGGGAGAGGGAGAGAGGGAGAGAGGAAGGGAGAGACGAGATGAGACTGAATATGAGAACTCTTTCTTGCTATAAAATTGAAAAAGTTATTGTTCCCCCGACTCAATTTCCCACAACTCTGAGGAAAATATGGTTATTTGAAGGTGGATGCCCGCGGCAGGGGTGTCCCCGGGGCCGTAAGCAGCTCGGGCAGCTGATGAAGGGTGGGAAGGGGCAGCGGTTGGAGGGAGCTCCTCTGTGCCCGGGCTCGTGCGTCCCAACCTCGCCCGCGTAGGGCACCGCGTAGAACGAGAGAAAAGTACAGCTCAGGAACCACAGTGTGACAGGGAGAAGCAGTGTTTTGTTTCCTGGGAGATGTTGGAGTCCTCGTGTTCATCGCCTTCCTAGTCCCGTTGCTGAAGCTGTCCAGCACGTGCGAGGCCCCTTCTCACCCTCGGGGCTCCTGGCGTAGGCCTCGGGGGTCTCCCGGGCCCCACCCCCGGCCCCTCCCCCCCCTCCACGGCTGGGTGATGGTTCTAGAATGTCAACCTGGCCCCCCCAACCCTCCTGGGTCTCCACAGCTCTTGGCCACGTCTGCCTTCCTCAGCCCGGCTCTCCAGGCTGGAGCCCCGAGGGCAGAACCCGGTCTGCTGGCCTGGGGTCCCCAGGCCCACGGCTTTTGAGGAAAGGAGTGAGGGCGTGAATGAGGGAGTGAGCCACCGCTGGCCCGCAGCTTCGCACCCCGCTCCTAAGTGGCCTCGTGGTGTTGCCCGCAGGGCGATGTCCTGACCACCAAGTACCAGGTGGACCTCGGGGACGGCTTCAAGGCCGTGTACGTGAACCTCACCTTGACAGGGGAGCCCATCCGGCACCGCTACGAGAGCCCCGGCATCTACCGTGTGTCCGTCCGGGCGGAGAACACGGCGGGGCACGACGAGGCCGTGCTCTTTGTCCAGGTCAACTGTAAGTCCCTGCCCCTGTGAGGCCGAGCTTCACTGCCTGTGACCGAGAGAACCTGGTCCTTGGGGAGGTGCAGGGAGGCCTCGGGCAGCTGCAGGTCCCTGTCCTCAGGATGGCGAGCCCAGGGGCAGGGAGGCGGGCAGGCTGGGCTCAAGTCCACACTGCCGGTGGTCTGCACAGCAGTAGGGTTGGTGGTGGTTGTGGTGGTGATGGTGGTGGTGGTAATAATGGCGGTGATAATGGTAGTGGTGGTGATGGTGGTGGTGATGATGATCGTGGTCGTAGTGATGGTGATGGTGGTGGAGGTGGTGGTGGAGGTCGTGGTGATGGTGTTGGCGGTGGTGATAATGAAGTTGATGGTGACAGTGACCAATAAGCAGCCTCTGAAATGCCCAGTGCCCTGATGCCCTCTGACCCCTGCCCGTGTTCCGGACCCTGCAGCCCCCCTGCAGGCCCTCTACCTCGAAGTGGTTCCTGTCGTTGGCATCAACCAGGAGGTGAACCTCACGGCCGTGCTGCTGCCTTCGAATCCCAACCTCACCGTCTTCTACTGGTGGATCGGCAACAGCCTGCAGGTTCGCTGCCCCGGACGCTCCAGGCCCCTCCTTCCCACCGGCTCCCAGCCGGGGTGGAGAGGGGGATGGGACGCTGGCCTGGGTACTGGGCAGGAGGACACAGTGTGTGCCACACCACCCCTTCCTCCCGCCCTGAGCATCTGCTCGGGGCCAGCCGTGTCCGAGTGTGGTGGACACAGATGAATTGGACCAGACTCTGCCTTTTCCCCTGGGAAAGAGATGTGAACAGAGTAGGTGACCCGAGTTAGGGTGTGACAAGTGTCACAGGAAGGGGGCAGGGGAGGTGTCCAAGGGCTCCAGGAGAGATGAGGCCCTTTTGTAGTCTAGGGAGGGGGTGGCCAGAGAAGGCTTCACAGAGGAGGGGTCACTGGGGCCGGACCAGATCTCAGGAGCCTCACTCAGAGCCTGCAGACAGGATGCCTGGCGGGAGGTCCCAAGGGCCTTTTCAAGGCTGCCCATCCGTGAGCTGGGGTGGCCTCAGGACCCAGAGTGGCAGCCTTCACTTGTTCAGCAGACTGCAGCCCTGCATCCCCAAGCAGGAAGCCCCACAAACAGCAGCTGAGGGCCAGACACAGAGGCCCGGGCGGGGAGGGGCTGTGGGCTCTGGAGGCTTCCCTGGGTAGGGAGGGTTGAGGAAGGGGCTCGGGCGCTGAGTTCGCACGCATCTCAGCTTGGCCACTGCCAGCACTTCGGTGACCACACCTCCCCGAGCCTCTGTCACCCCTCTGCGACGTCTGAGGTAGCATTGTCCCCCAGTCCTGATGAGCGTGCCCCACCCCCAGGGGGCTGCTGAGCTGGGCGCTGGGGTCCGGGGAGGAAGGCGCGGCAGAGCGTGGGGCTGGGCGATGAACTGGGATAGTGCCTGGAGGCCCGGCCGGCTGCCGTGTTAGGCCGTCTGAGGCGTCCACACCGGAGGCAGGGGCTCGGGCCGGCGTCTGCAAGGCCTTGTGTCATGCCATGTGCTGTCTCTGGGGCCCCCCAGTGCTGCCCCCACTTCCTCAAGAGAGCGAGGGGGCGAGAAGTTCCCAGGGTGGCCCTGACCCCTCCTGTGCCCCTGCAGCCCTTGCTCTCCCTGGACAACTCAGTGGCGACGCGGTTCTCGGCCCCGGGGGACGTGCGCGTGACGGTGCAGGCCGCCTGCGGGAACTCCGTGCTGCAGGACTCCAGGGTGGTCCGCGTGCTGGGTGAGTCCCCTGGGGACGGGCCGCACGCCCTCTCCTGCTCACCCTGTCCAGGGGCCGGGCAGCGTGGGGAGCGTAAGCCACGTGTCCTGGTCACCCGAGGAGCCCCCAGGCTGGGGAGGGGAGCCCGCCAACGCAGCGCTCCCCCGACTCACTGGCCTCAGTTTCCCCACCTATAGAATAAACACCAACGACTCCTGGTGTCTCAAGAGCTCACACAGCACAAGTGAGGGTGTGGGTGAGGGACTGACCAGGTCACCCCCCAGTGACGGAGCCGGGACTGGGCACCGGGCCTGCCTGCCTCCCAGGCACCTGTGCCCTCACGCCCTCCGGTCATCCGAGGTTGTCACAGGGTTATATTTTAAAGTAAGAGGACTCGCCTTACAGAGTTTGTCAAGACTCCTGTTGTGAATTGTGTCCCATTTATCTGTGCTCACAGGGGGCTCTGAGCCCCTCATGGGAGACGTTTACAGTAGAAAATTAGTCCTAAGACTAATTAGAAGAGACCCCCCACCCCAGTATGCTGTTGCCCTCGTCGTCACACCAGTAAAAACTCATTTTGCTTTAAGAACAGCCTCTCCTGTGGACAGCAGCCATCAGTTAAATATTTAGTGGGATGGCCCTGGGCCGTTCCTTCATTCACAAATGTGTGCCCCAGGCCCTGATCCCGAGCTCTGAGACAGTCCTCACCACCCCTCTGTAAGGTGTTGAGTTCAGCTCACAGAGCACTCGTCCCTCGAGCGGCTCACCCCTGCAAAGCCTCCTCCCACTTTACAAGAGAGGAAACCAAGGCTCGGAAGGGCAATGGAGAGATTACAGGGAGCTCTGAGGCCCCTGGGGTGGGGCTTCTCAGCATCGCGTTTCATTCCTGTGGCTCTAGAGCAGGCCTCCGAGTCAGGGACCCTGGGAAATGAGAGAAAGATGGCAAGTCTCTGCTCTCAAGGGACTCTTACTCTGGTGGGGGGACCAGCCCAGTCAAAGTCCATGGATCCCTGGGGGATGGAAGGCCAACCTTGTGGGGTGCGTATGTCCTTGTGAGTTAACAGGGCAGGCTCGGCACACGCCAGGCCATCCCTCCAGGTCAGGACGGCTGTCTTCATTACCATCTTTGTCATTATTGTTGTCATTGTTATTAGATGTCAGCCAGTGAAGTGGGCCCTGCCCACGACAGCTATTGGCACACAAGGTGGGATCTTGTTTTCCAAAAGTGGGCCACAGGATCCAACCCAGGGGCAGTCTCAGACCACCCAAGATGCGTGCCCCACCTCCCTGGAGGGAGCACAGCCGGGCTGGCCAGGGCTGATCAGCTCTCCCGTCTGCCTCTGTCCAGATCAATTTCAGGTGGTGCCTCTGCACTTTTCCAAGGACCTGGACGCACACAACCCCAACACCCCTGAGTGGAGAGAGGACGTCGGCCTGGTGGTCACCCGGCTCCTCTCCAAGGTGCCCCCAGCCCACCCATCCCAGAGCCTCCCCAGCACCTGTGGGTGCCCCAGAGAAGCCGGGGCCCCCAGGATGGTTGGGGCTGCCCCACAGTCATGACACTCTGGCCCTCAGGCTGGCTTGCCAAGATGCCTGGAAGCCAGCTAGGGCCTGCTGCCCTGGCTCAGGGGCCGTGCAGCTGGCGTGTCACCCTGCAGGGGAGGGACAGGACTGCATCCTCCATCACAGCTAGTGAGCACTGGCTGTTTCCATAAGACACAGTTGCTGTCCCCCAAAGGCCCAGAATCTCTTTAAAGTGATCTATTTGCTGAGTTCCTCTCCTGGGCCAGACACTGGAGACAGAGAGAAGACTGACCGTGGTCATTACCCTCAGGGAGCTCACAGAGCTCCTGCTCACAGAGCAGATGAAGGCAGTGCATCAGCGGGCAGAGGACACTCAAGGCCCTGGCCCCCCAGTGAGAGAAAGACCAGCCCCCTAGAGTCATCCAGGCTGAGGCCCACTCTAACCATGCCTTCCCTCAGCCCATTAAAAATGCTAGTGATATTGTCCTGGGCGTTGAAGGATGGTTAGGAGTTTGCCAGATGAATGTGGATGCAGTGGGACTTCGGGAGGCAGAGGGGCCCCTGTGAGCTGAGCTCTGTGGGTTGAGGGAGTTGTATGGTCAGGAGCCCTGGCATGTGGGAGGACCTTAGCCAGGGAGGGGCCTGCTCAGTGTGGTCACAGTGTGAGGCATGGGCCAGAGGGGCAGGCCTGGCTGAGGAGGCCGGTGTGGGGTTCGGAGGGCTGAGGGACCAGGAGAGCTGGCTGCAGGCGCCAGAGCATTCGGGGGCCATCCCCATGGTGTACAGGGGTCAGCAATGGCATGCAGGACAGATGGCCAGGACATGGAAGGGCCAAGAGGGGAGAGAGGGTGTTCCTGGGGGCCCCGGGATGTGGCAGGGACAGAGAAGGCATGCGGATCAGAGCGGCTCGTCTGCGTCCCGCAGGAGACCGGCATCCCTGAGGAGCTGCTGGTGACCGTGGTAAAGCCGGGGCTGCCCACCTTGGCCGACCTGCACGTGCTCCTGCCCCCTCCCAGGCCCACGAGGAAGAGGAGCCTCACGAGTGACAAGGTGTGTCCTGTGCTGGCAGACCTGGGTCTGCGCCCTGCGGGAGGTGGCCATTCACAGCAAGCCCCAAATTTCAGTGGCTCCTCATCGCGTGAAGGCTCATTTCTCACCAATCGCGGTCCGACTTGGGCGGCTGGCCCTCCCCTACCTGTGGCCTCATGCTCTGGGACTCCCGTGGCCCCCAAGGTCTCTGTGGGAGGGTAGGGGGACGGCGGCACCGGGGCTGGACCGCCTCCCAGGGGGACACGTGCCACCTCCTCTGCCGTTTCATCGGCTGGAGCTGGTCCCACCGTCCCAACCTCCCTGCTGGGGCGCCGAGCATGCGGGTGAGCAGGGTCCAGGGACACCGGACACGGGCTTCAGGACAGAGTGAAGTCAGCCCCATCCAGTTAGCAAACGTCTTTATCACAGGACAACTTCCAAATATTAGCCCTCATGGAGGGGACAGAAGCCCTGCCACGTGACGGGCATGGGATGGGCACTCAGAGCTGAATCGGGGGCTCTTCCCGCCCTCGAGGGTGGCTGTGACCCTTTAAAGAAACAGACAACGCCTACTGCTGACGAGGGTGTGGAGGAATGGAACCCCGTGCGCTGCCCGGGGGTTGTAAAGTGTGGAGACAGTCCGGCAGTTCCTCAGAAAGTGAAGCACAGAGGTACCACGTGACTCCGCAGCTCCACCCCCAGGGGTGTGCCCAAGAGAACTGAAAACGTACGTCCTACAAAACTGGTACACAAGCGTTCATAGCAGCACCGTTCACAGCAGCCCCAACATGGAGACAGCCCAGATGCCCATCCACAGATGAATGAACAGAATGTGGTCGATCCAGACAGTGGAGTATTATTCAGCCATAAAAAGGAGTGCAGCACTGACACGCTACAACGTGGATGAACCTTGACAGCGTTATCCTAAGTGACAGAAGCCAGCACAGAAGGTCACATAGTGTATGGTTCCATTTATGTGAAATGTCTCGAAGAGGCAAATCCATAAAGACAGAAAGCAGATGAGCGGTTGCCAGGGGCTGGGGGAGGGGCAGTGGGAAGTGACTGCTGACAGGTACGGGGCTTCCTTTTGGGATGATAGAAATGTTCTGGAATTAGATGGTGGTGATGGTTGCACAACTTTGGGGATATACTAAAAACCATTGAATTGTACAATTTAAAAAAGTCAGTATCGAAAGATGAATCAGAACCTCACCTAACGTCTAGACTGGTCATGGAGACAGATGCTCAGCCGGCGGTCTGGAAAGAGTGACCCGCGCTGAGGCAGGGGTACCACACAGGCCCACAGCAGCCCCATGGGGTGGGTGGTGGTACCCCATTTTACAGACGGGGAAGCGAGGCTTGGTGAGGGCCCCCATCAGGGAGGGCGGAGAGGGCGTGGGGCCTCGTCACCCTGGCTGCAGAGCCGCACTCCTAGCCACTCCAGGCTGCCTCCATGTGGACGTGTATCTGACCCGCAGCATCTCCCAAAGGGCGTCCACGTCCACACCTGGGGTCTCCAGACCTGCCCAGCCCCAGCCCCTGCCCGTGCGGAGTCTCCAGGGTGGACAGTGGCGGGCCGAGAGCGATCACGCTCATGTGTCAGACAAGGACCTGAGAGCAGAGGGGCACCACAGCTCGGGGAGGGCCGCGGGAGCCCAGCTGCCTGCCGCCAGGGCGCGGGGGACCTCACCCCCTCGGGGCGCAGAGCACCCACCCGCCCATGGCTCCCGCCGTGGAGAGGAAATGAGCTAATGCAGGTGCAGGCGCTTAAGAGCCGAGTTGGAATGCAAGGAGGCGAGAGACAGAGGGGAACCCCGGAAAATTCCCAGCCCTGGCGACCCAGAAACATGGGGACGCGTGTGGGCGAGAGGCAGCCACGTCTCCAAGTCGGACTCCTGGGGAGACGGCTGAGGGAGTAACTGATGGACGCACAGGACGCCGGGAGGAACGAGAGCCCTACTTCGTGCCGGGCGCCCTGCCAGCACCTCATGTGTTTGTCACTGTCACACGGATCCTGAAGGAATGGAAGTGTGCCCGTGGTCCGTGGGGCTGGCCGCCCTCGGCCCGCCGTCCTCTCCAGCCCAGCCGCCCACCCCCACCCACCCCACCATCCAGCGACATCACCTCCGGGGATTGCCCTCCCCCAGGAGCAGGGTCACCTGTCCTGTCCCCATCTCCTCCTCTTCTTGGTCTTCCACCTCCGAGAAGCCCTCCCTGACCACTGCTGGGATTGGAGCCTCCTGGAGCCCCCCGTGTTTCTCCGACTTCACCACAGTCTGTGGTCTGACTAAAACAGGAGCTCTTCAAGAACAGGCCGGTCTGAGTTTTTGTTGCATTAGAGGTTACTGGTGAAAGCCGGCTGGTATGCCAGTATTCCTGCTTTTTTTTTTTTTTTTTACTGAGGAAGATTGGTCCTGAGCTAACATCTGTGCCCATCTTCTTCTACTTTGTATGTGGGATGCTGCCTCAGCATGGCTTCATAAGCGATGCATAGGTCCAAGCCCGGGATCTGAACCTGCGAACCCCGGGGTGCCGAAGCAGAGCACCCGAACTTAACCACCATGCCACCAGGCTGGCCCCTAGTATTCCCATTTTACAGACTTGGAGACTGAAGCTCAGAGAGGCTGAGTGGCCCTCCCACACCCCATGGCGCCGGAGGGTCAGAGCGGCCCTCTGCCCGCTCTCCCGCCCCTCTGGTGGGTACCGGCAGACCCCTCCTCACTGTCCCCCTGTGCTTTCAGAGACTCACGGCCATCCGGCAGGTGCTGAGTGCACAGAAGATCAGCTTCCTCCTGCGGGGCGGGGTCCGCGTCCTGGTGGCCGTGAGGGACACAGACACAGGTGAGAGGCCAGGAGCCTCCTGGGCCTGGCCTGGGCCCCCCTGCGGGGAGCAGTGGGCATGTGTCCAGGCCCCTGAGAACAGGGGGTGGGGGCGAGGGGCCCTGCACCTGCCGCCCACTCCCCCTGACTGAGAGGTCGCCTTGGCCCCTCCGAGTCAAGGGCCTCGCTCTCGTCTCCAGAGATGCCACACGGGGCTCTGACTGTAGTTTACGTGGACATTTGGGGTCTCAGATGACCTCCGCCCCCGGCCCACCGTGGGACTGTCCTCTCTGGGGCAGAATCCGTGCAGAAGCTGAAGACCTTCTCTCATCCCTGTAAAGACACGCCCACGGGGAGACGGGGTTCACCCCAGGGCAGCGTGAACATGGACAGGGGTTCTGTCCACTCTCCGGAAGGAAGGACCTGGGCAGCCTTTACACAGCGGGAGGCCCGGGGCCCAGGGGGCGGGGTCCCTCCGAGGTCCAGAGCGTGAGCTCCTTGTCCTGCCCGCCCCTCTCAGCCGCACCGGAGAGGCTGCCAGGCAGGATGACCCACCTTCCCCTGCAGGGAGGCCAGACGCGCCCAGGCCCCGCTGGGGACAGGCTGGGGACAGGCGTGCCCCACGCTGACCGCTGACGGGCTGCTTTGCTTGCAGATTCTCAGAGGCTGGGAGGAGGCGGCGGCTACTGGGCGGTGGCGGTCCTCTTTGTCATCGGACTCTTTGCGGTGGGAGCCTTCATCCTCTACAAGTTCAAAAGGCAAGGCCGCCTCCCTCCCTCCCTCCGCAGGCAGGCCGGGCTGATGGCGGGGCTGTGGGCTGAGACCTAAGGGCGGGGCCTGGGCAGGTTGTGAGTTTGCGCCTGCGATGGGCTGCAGGGGGAGGGTGCTCGTCTAGACCCACTCCCCGGTTCTGAACCCCCTCGGTCTCGGAGGGAGACAGCTCACAACCCAAGGAGCATCTTCCACCCCATCCTTCTCTCTGCTCACCCACCCTCAGAGGAAGGCCTCTGCCCATTTTACGGAAGAGGATACCAGGCTCAGAGAGGTTAGGTAACGTGCCCAAGGCTGCACAGCTGGGAATCGAGGAGCGGGGAGCTGCCCAGGCCTGTCCCTCTGTCCCATGCTTCCTGCAGCTCTCGTCTGTCCCTTCCCTCGGCAAGTGTGACTGAGAGCCCGGCGTGCGGGGACTCCGCTGGGAGAGGGCTCCAGGGTCCAGAGGAGGAGGGACTGGGCGGGGATATTCGCGGAGGGCGTGGGCAGGGGCCTTCTGCTGAGGCTGGTGGGTCTGGAGTCTGCACCCAGCTGGACTCTGGACCTGGGAACCAGCAAAATCACCAAGAGGTGTCAGCAGACGTGTTTCCTGCAAAACGGAGCTTTGAGATTTGACCCCATGTTTCTCCCCATCTTGCTGGTTCAGCTCCAGTGGCCTCAGGGTCTCCCTGGTCAGAGTCGCCCTTGGGGACAGTCCAAAGATACAGCTCACCCTTTCCTTTGTGCCCGTCTGATGCCAAGGGTCCGTCGTCCAGCCCCACCCTTGCCCAGGCCCTGGACCCACCTGACGCCTCTCCAGACCCCTCCCCACCGTCCTTTACGCACCTTTGGTCTTTAAGTGGTAGTGATGTACACACCCTTCCTCCTCCGTGTGGGACACTGGTCCAGGTGCTGGGGACACAGCGCTGGCCGAGGCAGATGTGGTTCCTGCCCTCAGGGAGCTGTGTTCTGGCTGGGAACATGTCCAGCAGCTTGTCACCTGCCTTGTGATTCTGTTCCAACTGAAGGGCCTGCCTGCAGTGCTCTGAGAGTGTGTAACAGGGACCTGAGCTGGTCTGGAGAGTCTGGGAGGACTTCCCAGAGGAGTTGATTTCTGAGTGGGGATCCTGAAGGATGAGTAGGAGTTTGCTGAGCAGTGAGGCTGGAGCAGGGCCCAGGCTGTGGCCTCTCTTGATTTCAAAACTTGTAGAGGCACTGGCTTCTGGACAGGTCCGCCTGGGTGTCCCACAGGCACCTCAAATTCAAATCAAACTCAGCCTCCTCGCTCCCAAAAGCCCCTCCTGGGTGAAGGACCAGCCCTCTGCCAGGCGTCCAGGCCAAGAATGCCACCTCCTTCCCATCTGCCCTCTCCCCTCAGCCGGGAACATCGCCTGATCCCCACAGCCCCCTGGAAGTGGGATTCGTCACAGCCAGGAAGTGGCATCGGGGCCCAGGATTTCTGGTACTAAAGCCAGGTCCCCTCCCTGCCCTGAACTCAGAGCAGGTTCAAGTCAGTGTGGACAGAACCCCAGGGGCGGTCACCCCGGTGCTTGCTCTGGGCCGGGGATTGACTAGGCCTGGGCAGAGGCGTCCCCCTCGCTGGCCGAGGCCCCCCGGGCCCCCTGAGCAGCCGTGTGCTCAGATGGATGACAGGTGCCTTGACCTTCCGGAGACGGGGTCACGCTCCCTCTGCCCCACGGCATTTCTGGATCGCCTTCCACGGCCGGGCTGGGTTTCTTCTGTCTGCTGGAGGGCTGCTGACGCCCTTATTCTGGGGGGCAGGGTGTCCATTTGAAGAGCCTGTTCTCAGCCCCAAGGCTCTGCCACCTCCTCCCGCCCCTGACGTGCCTGGTGCCAGCCCTGGGGCTGCACAGCCACACGGTGTCCGGCTGACCCCCCACACGGGACAAAGGAGGCGCCAGGAGCGGGGACCGCATTTACCCGGAAACACAGGCCCGCCCCCGCCCCCAGGGAGGGGCTTCCCGGCTCCCCGTCCCCTCGCTCTCTCCTCATGCTGTTCAAAGTGCTGCCTATTCAGTTCCCTCAAAAAAAGCCGTGGAGGTGTGGCCGTGCCAGGTGGAAGCCGACCTCAGGGCCTTGGCTTCCTCCCCTGTGGAATGGGCATGCCGTTCCCCTGGGGGTGCTGGGAGCCAGGGTCCTGTCAGCCCCTCTCTCAGCCGTCAGGTGTCAGGGGAGCCCGGGGTCCCGGGTGTTTGCAGAGATTAAACGAAAAAGGAGAGGCTTCCAGCCGTCTCCACCGCCTCTGCGTCTCTGCCCTCCGCGCCCTTCACCCTGAGCGCACGGCCGTGGCCGAGCTGTGGGAGGCCCAGCACGCGGCAGGGGCCGTCAGCCTCAAAGGCTGGCCGTGGACCTGCCCTGCCCCTGACCAGCTCTGGCTCGGGCCAGTCGCTGCTCCCCCCTGAGACTCAGTTTCCTCATCTGTCAAAAGTGGGGGATGGGCAAAGGGATGAAGAAGGAGGGGGACGAGGGGGAGGAGGGGAGGAGGAAGAAGAATAGGGAGGAAGAAGGATAGGGAGGAAGAGGGAGGAGGGGAGGAAGAGGAAGGGGGGAGGAGGACGAGGAGGGGGAGGAGGAGGAGGACGAGGAGGGGGAGGAGGAAGATTGGGAGGAGGGAGAGGGGGAGGAGGAGGACCGCCCGCTCCTGCAGGCAGTCTCCTTTGCCCCTGTCCCTCGTTACCCCGATGCGTTTACTTGAGACCTTCTGAAAACAGCCCAGCGTGGACCTGGCTCTCACAGGGCACCGGCTGCGAGTGTCTTGAGAGGCAGAACGAGAGAACGGGTTAGACGCCTCTCTGAGTCAGAGCCGTGCTGGAGGCCAGTGGCTGGGCTCTCCTGCCCCTTCCTCTTTCCCCCTGGACCTCAGTTTGGGCGCAAATGCTCACTGAGGCTTTCTCCAAGCACTGGAGAAACGCGATGGCGGTGGGAATTGCCTGGGGAGCAGAAGGCAGGCTTGGCCGGTTCAGCCTGGGAAAGGATGGAATTTGGGTCTCTTTAAATTACATCCTTCAGCCCCCCTGAGGGACAGATTGCGGTTTCCACAAAGCTCTCCGGATTTACCGCACACGGTGGAAAGGGTCCAGCAGGAGCGTGCCAGCCTGGTACCCAGAGGAGGGGAAGGGAGGAGGAGGAGGGGAGGACCTGGAGTGAGGCCCAGAAGGTGCCCCAAAGAGAGGCGAGGGTGTAGGTGGCCGGCCGGTGCCTGGCACACGAAGGGCTTCTTACTGAATCAATCATGCCTTTGGTGGGGAGGGGTTGCCATGGAAACAGTGGAGCACAGTTACAGGGTCCAGTGTGTTCCCCAGAGTGGGTCCCCCCGGGAGGAGAGCAGACTTGAGCCAGGCAGCAGAGAGATGCTCGTCCACCCATAGCCGTCCAAGGTTAAGCCCGCAGCGGCCTGTGGGAGCCAGGGAGACGGGCTCCATTCCCAGCCGGTGTCTCAGTCAGTGTGGGCTGGGCTCAGCTGCCGTGACAAACAGCCCCAACGTCTCAGGCTCACAGCCACCAAGGTTTATTTCCCTTTGTCTCTACGAGTCCACCCAGGGCTGGCGGGGGGCTGGGCCCTGGTCACTCAGGCCTAGACCGGAGCAGGGCCATCTGTTCTAGAGGGATTCGAGTCAGCGTTCAAGTGTTCCAGCCTGCAAGGGACGCATGCCACCTTGGGTCACCCTCAGTGCACAGAGCTAGTCCCAGCCCACCATCTGAAGGCTCCCGAGAGCTGGCAGGGTGGGCTCGGCAGCACCCGAGGTAGCCTGCCCCCCTGCTGAGTCCCAGTCCCTCAGCTGTGAGATGGGACCGCGGGCGCTTTCGAGATGGAGCCGGCCCGATCCCAGCTGGGGTGGAGGCAGCCGTGCCCGCACTCTCCTCTCCCTCCGCCGCTGGAGGGGATGGGGAAGCCAGGATGGCTCAGCTAGGAGCCGGGGTGGGGCCCAGCAAGCCCGTCTCAGAGCTGGGTTGGGCTGTGTGTGGTGTGGGAATGCATGCCCACCAACCCAGTCAGAGCCCAGGACGCTGCTGTCCCCGAGAAGCTGGGCGACAGGGAAATGAGAGGAAAACACCCTCTCCCTGCAGCGTGTCCTTGATCCGTTACAATCTGCACCCCGCGTGCTGGGGCAGAGGGAAAGTCGGAGCCACGGGGGCTCACCGGAGGGAGGGCTTCCTGGAGGAGGTGGCTTGGAGCAGACATGGGGCAGGAGATGAGACCCAGGAGCGATGAGTGCACCACACGTTGGGGTGGTCTGGGGCCCAGCTGGGGACTTCTAGGGGTGGGCGGCCTGGGCAGCGCCCTGAGCCCCCGCCTCTGCCTGCAGGAAACGCCCCGGCAGGACGGTGTACGCCCAGATGCACAATGAGAAGGAGCAGGAAATGACGAGCCCCGTGAGCCACAGCCAGGGCGTCCAGAGCGCCATCCAGGGTGAGGAGTTTATAGATGATGGTCTGGACGCGCAGACTCTAGGTAACGCCCGCCCCGGAAACCCACCCCCCCGCCCTCCCGTGGGCCCCCACCTGGCCGCCTCTGGCCAGCAAAGCACACAGGACCCAGGGCCGGGCAGGCGTGGAGGTCTGTCCCTCCCTCCGACCTAGGTGATGGCAGGAGCCCCCTGGGCCTGCCTGTGCAGATTAGTCAGGACCTGTGGATGCCCAGGCGTCACGCCCTGCAGCCCCTGAAGGCCCCGTCCGGCCCCCTGGGAGGGCAGGAGAGGACAGAGAGCAGGCTGGTTTCCCCGGGGAAGCTGCCTCTGTTCTTGGGATGTTGGGGGCCGCTCCCCACAGCACCCTCTCAATGCCCAGCCCTCCTGCTCCTTGGAAATGACGATTCCGTGAGCGCCGTGCAAGTGTACGTAACCGCCTGTGCACGGCACTTTACAGTTTACAAAGCGTTCTTTGACGGGAGCTCACTGACTCCCTCCCAAGTGCCCAGCGGGAGAGTCCCAGTCCCCGCGGCTGCGCAGCAAACCCCCACTCAGCGCGTCACATGGCAGTCGATGGCCGTTTTCTCCCGCGGCTCCGGGGCTGACCGGGCCCAGCCCGGCCGTGCTCTCAGGGTCCCTCGGCCGGAGCCGAGTCGTCTCGCAGCCTCCTCACCCGCGGGTCTGGCAGTTCACGCGGGCGGGCAGCCAAGCCCTCCGCTGGGGCTGCCGGCCCGCAGCCCGCCCTCCCGCGCGCCCGCGGCCTCTCTGTGTGGCCTGGGCCTCCTCACCGCCTGGCGGCCGAGTCCCCAGAGCGACCAGGGAGGGGCAGCTGCACCACTTTCCACCACAGTGACGCACGGTCCCTTCGAGTGGTTCCTCGAGGAACCACCGGGTCTGTCCCTCCTCAGCCGCGGGGGCACGGACTCCGCCCCGCGGTGGGGGAGGGCCGGGCCTCACTGGACGAGCAGCACGATAGGACCCAGCACGGTGCACGACGCAGACCCTCCTCTCCGCAAGGGGGGAGACTGAGGCTCCAGGAGCTCTGAGCCCTGCCGAGGGTCGAGGGTCGGGGCCTGTGCTGATGGGCCGCCGTCCTGCTCGGCCGCGTTTGGGGAGCTCCTGCCGGGAGCACGGCTGTGCTGAGCACTCGCGGGTCCTCTCCCTCCCGCAGCCGCGGGAGGCCGGCTGCTCCTCAGAGCTGAGGACGGGGCGCAGAGATGAGCCTCCCTGGGTCACAGCTGACCCACGCCCTCCCCCCCGAGCGGTTCCCATCTGTACTTCGGTTCCTGCTGACCGGCCTGGCCTCTCCAGACGAGCAGCCCTTGCAGAGGGTGGCACGGGGAAGCGCCATGAGCGGGTCATTATCATCTCGGCTGTTGATATCCTTGTTGTGACAGTTCTCTCACACCCGTATCTGATTGTCCTCAGAACTAGGAGAGGTAGAAATCGCTGTCCTCACTTTTTAAGGGACTGAAAGTGAGGCTCAGAGAGGTGAAGTCACTCTCCCGTGCGGCACAGCACAGCCGACCAGTGGCTGACCTTGAATCCAAATCCAGGTGGCTCCTTGTCCCCCTCCCTCCCTCCAGCTCCCCTTGGCAGGAGTCCCTGACTGTTTGCACACTGGGCCCCATCTCTCCCACACCCTCCAGCCAGATGCGTTTGCACGGCCAGATGCGTCTGCAGCCTCCGGGGACATAATAATAACCACTTTAACTTCCTGAGCGCTTGCCCTGTGCCGGGCTCAGTGCTTCCCGGACATAATCTGACTGACTCCCCGTGAGGCAGGCACTGGTGATGTGTCCATTTGACGGATGACAAAGCTGAGGTTCAGAGTGGTCACTCAAGCTCCCCAAGTCACTTAGCTGATAAGAGGTGGACCTGGATTCCAGCCCAACTCTGTGGCTCCAGAGCCTGTGGGCTGGCACCGCTGCAGCCCCCCAGCTTGGGGCGAGCATCCTGTGTACCCCAAAGGCCCCCTCCGCCAGGTCTCTCCCCCACCCAGGGCAGGGCTGGTTAGAGGGCATCAGGACTTGGGGCTCCACACTGCCTCCCATGCAGCCTGGCCCCTACCTCCATGCAGGTGGCATCGCACCTCCAGTGACAGAGGTGGCTGCAGAGGCTCTGAGCAGACCCAGGGCTTCCCAAGCTTGGACGGAGGGCTTGGGTGTCCCGGGGAGACCAGAGCTCGCTCCCCTGCCTCTGGCAGCTCTCTGCTGTCAAGCCCCTGAAGAACAACCACAGCGTAATAATAATAATAATAGCTTCTTTTAGTCGAGCGCTTAGGATGCTCCAGGCTCTGCCTGAATGCTTCAGGTGTTTTTCCTTATGGTCCCCACTACGGTCCTTTCTGGGAGGCACTGTTATCATCCCCATGTTACAGATGACAAAACCGAGGCCACAGGGTGACCAACCTTGATGACGGTCTCACCCAGCAAGTCGGGCTCATGCCCCTGCACCAACTGCAGCCTGGCTGGGGCCTCCGAGCTCCCGGACCTTTCTCCCTGTGCCCGTGAGGTGGGGGTGGGGCTCACAGGAGCAGCTCCAGGTCCGGCCCGCCCCCCCCCCCGGGGTGCGCCTCTGTCCCCCGGCCTCATAACGCAACCCCCCAGGACTGCCGACTGACCCCTGCGTTTCTGACCATCCCTGTGTGCCTTCTCTCTCCTGCCGCCCCGGGGCCTCGCCGCCGCACCCTGCAGTGCCCACTGCCGGGAGGGGGCGGAGCCCCTCCTGCATCCCCCTGCTGCCGATGCCGATGCCGGGGTCGGCCCTGTTGCAGGTCAGTGGGGGCAGCCGGGGACGGCGGGCCTTGGCCTCACCTCCAGAGGCCCTCTGGGGTCCACTGCTCGTGCAGCCACCGGGAACACCCACTCTGTCACCCACCCAGGAAGCGTAGGACCCCACGGCCTCGACACCGCGTTCGGGCACGACCCACACGGCCTCAGGAAGCACGGGTTGCCCACTGCACGTTGGCTCCGTGGTATCAGCTGAGGCCACCGCTGTGTCCCGCACGGCCCTCGTCTCTCTGCCCCGTGCAGCAGCGGGCGTGAGCTCACAGGCGGGCGTCTCTCTGTTCCCAGGGAATCGCTCTGGCGTGGTCCTGAGCATCAACTCCCGGGAGATGCCCAGCTACCTGGTGAGCTGATGCCAACGGAGGCCCGCGCCCAGAACACTCTCCTGTCCGTCGTTTCCCCCCCGCGGAGGGCACAGAACCACAAACGCAGCCGGCACGGTGCTGGGATGGGCATCCCCCTGGGACCTGCGGAAAAGCCGCCTTCTCCAGCCATCCCCACGCAAGGGACAGAGGCCCCTCCCTCTGTTCGGCGCCAGCCCGCCCAGCTCTCAGGACACGCAGGGGCCTGCCGGCTCCCGCCCTCCCTGAACACCAGGTCCACCGCGCCTCCCACCGCCCCCACTGGACTCTGGGCACGTCTCTGCCCCTGGACCCCACACGGCTATGCGGCTGCTCCAACCTGCCCGCCAGCTCGAGGCCTGACTTCTCAAGGCCGAGGCTGGTCGCCCCGGAGCCGGGGAGGTGAGCCTGCCCGGGCTGCCCGAGCTCCCAGCGCTGCAGACACGCTCCTTCACTCTGCGCAGGGACACTGGGGGCCTTCCTGACGTGCTTTCTTCTCCATTCCCCCCACCCGGGAAGGTAGCTCCCGCCTGCATGGCCGTCCCTCTGCGGGGGGTCCACTCCCTCCAGCATCTGGAAAGCCTGCGACCCAGGCCCTGCCCCTGTCCAGGCACTCCGGCACCACCCTCCGTGCCTCCCACCGTCCCTCCTCTTTCTGAAGTGCAGATCATGTAAATACCTCTCTAGGTAGCTGTTTGCATTTGGGGGGTTTTGTTCAACTTTCTATTTTTATGGTCAGGCGTTAGCCATCTGGGTTGCCTTGTCAGAGCCCCATTCTTGGGAACCCGTTTTCCAGAATGTCCAGGCTGCTCCTCTGCCTCTCCTGGCACCGTTCCCTCCCTGGGGCCCAGAGGGGCGAAGGCTCCTCCCGGCTTTCCCCCTGGGGGATCCATGGTGGCCCAGGGGTCCAGTGCCTGCACTTCCACAGCCAGCCAGCAGGGGGCGCCCTCCCGCAGGCTTTCCCAGCACCGTGGTGGGAACGGCCTCGAGATGCACCAAGTGCTCTCGCTTCCTTATAGCTTAAGGGACCCGTGTAGAAACCCAGGAACCAGGAGAGGTTTAGGACGGCCGAGCCAGAAGGGCCATCCAGGAGTGCGCCCCTCATTTTCAAGATGGAGAAACTGAAGCCCAGAGAGGGTGACTTTCCCAAGGTCACACAGCAAGACAGTAGCAGAGCTGTCCCCGTGCAGTGCGATCCACGCAGTCACAGGTGCCCAGAACCAGGGGCGCTAGCCGAAGTCAACACACATGACTATATGGGGGTGTTTCCCGTTTTGCCTTGAAACCCGAAGTCAGTATACCCCCCACTCCCTCTCCTCCTTCCCTTCCTCTTCTCCCTCCTCCTCCTCCCCCCTCCCTTTTCACTCTTTCCCGTCCCCCTCCTCTCAGGCAGGGCTCTCAGGGTCCCAGGGCGTTTCCCTTCGAGGCGAGGAACACAGAGCCCAGGCCAGGACCTGGCTGAGCGGTGATGAGTCCAGGATTAAGCCCAGGAGCATTAGGAAAAGAACCGGGGCCTGTGGGAGGGGGTGGCCCGGGATGGATCCTCACACCCAGAACAGCTCCCAGCACACAGGAGGCCCTCAGTGTTTGTGGAACAGATGAACCCAGCGCCACTGGGGAGTCCCTCGCCCTCGTGTCACAAATGGGGACTCTGAGACCACAGGGAGGAAGAGGTCACCACGGGTCACGTGGCCAGGCGGTGGAGGCGTCCCTCTCCCCACCCAGCCTGCCCATCGGCTAGGGCTCCTGGGCCACCCCCTCAGAGGCCACCCTGCAAGTTGTCCCCAAGACCCTCCTTGGGGAAGGGCTGGACCGGGGACCCAGGACGAGGAGCTGGCGAGGTCGGTGTGGGAAGAGGCTGGGATTCTCGGGACCTTTGTCCCCCCAGCCTGCTTGTAGTCCCAAAGACACCTTAGGGACCCCTCGTCCTGCCATCCCCCCACAGGGTCAACACCATCCAGGTCTAGGGTCGGGTCAGCATGGAGTCCCTGGACACTGCCCCAGCTCACCAGTGCCCGCGGATGTCCATCCTTCCCATCCGCAGCCACTCAACTTCCTCCTCTCCGCTGTTTGGGGAGCGTTTTTTCCCCTTAGTTATTTGTGTTTTTCTTGTATTTTATGTTACTATTTTTATTCAGAGTATTTTGGGTGTGTGGGCCCAAGAACCTGGGAATAAGGCAGCATCTGATATAACCGTATGCTTTCCATCCCCATAACCGTATAGATGGGCACGTGGGTCTGCGGACTGTCTGGTTCTCTGTGTTTGATGGACAGGTACGTACAGGCGCCTGGCCCGAGATGCGGCCTGCTCTGGGCAGCCAGCGTTCCATGCAGCCAGACTGCACCCGTACTTGGTATATGCACTTAACAAGATGCGATAAATTGTTTCTTATTTTTCCTTTTTAAAAATCAATAAATCATTTGTGATGCTTTTAACAAAGATTAAATGAATATGATCAGCTTTTGCCTTATTATGAAGCTGTTTTTCAACATTTACCTAAATAAACACACACACACAGGCCCCGAGAACTGTGGTCCGGAGGCAGCGTGGCCAGGGCCCCTGGGAGGAGCAGGAGCGGTTCCTCACCCGGGGGAGCACGCGTGACCTCAGCCTTCTCCGGCCCTCGGACCCCGCCACCTGCAAGGCTGTAAGGTCACCCCATCTGCTCTCCAAGTCCTCACACAGCCTTTGGCCACTTCCTCCTCTCAAGGCCACAGAAGAGCCCTGAAGCCTCAGCCCAGTTGCCAGATGAGGAGCAGAGGCCGGAGGGCGAAGGCCTGGAAGTGCGCGGCCCGACACAGCACGGCCCCGACGCCGCCTCTTCGTCTCGAAGTGCCATCTGGCGTGGTCTTTGAGTTGACAGCAGGAGGCCGCACGCGTGGTCCCGGTCGACTCTTTGGCCTCAGAACATGCACGTACTCGCTGTGCTGGCCGGCTGTCCTGACCACCTCCCGACCAGTCTCTGAAGTTCCAGCTGTGCCATCGTGTCGAGAAGGCTCTTGTTTGCTCCCACTCTGCTCCTCCTGGTTACGGCCGGAGACAGAAACGTGCGAGCACAGACTCACAGACACGTGGGCGTTTGCCGAGTGGCTCCCAGCCCGCTTCCGGGGTGAAGTGAGGTTGGGACTGCATCTCAGACAGCTCGAGGAGGACAAGGGTGGCGAGGAGCCGACAGCGCCAGCCCTGACGTCGCCCACGGGAAGCTGTCTCCCTTGCACGCAAAAATATTTACAGTGTCTTAATAAAAAAGCGAGGGCATTCTTTTCTTAATAAAAAAGTAAGGAGCGGTGATGGTTCTGTTTCTGGCATCACACGGTCTCAGAAGGACTGTCACACAGCAGTGCAGGGTGGCTCTTGGGGAACCTCCAGGCCTGATGGCTGACCTGCGTCGGCCATCGTCCTTGGGTGGGAATAAAGCAAACATGTCTAGGAGGTGGAGATACAATCAGTGTCCTTGTGCACGGCTACTCACACACACACACTCACACAGACACACCCAGTCACACGCCTCCTCTGCCATCATACATCCATGTGGAGTTCAACCTCGGCGTCCTCAAAAACCTCCCCCCAGACCTCACGCTTTTTGCACTGGTGCCGGGCCCTAGACTTGGCGCTGGGCTGGAGCAGTGAGTGAACGAGACAGAGCCGCTGGACCTTGAAGGAGACCCCAGGCTGGACCACAGGATTCAGCAGGGAGGCGAGGGCGGGGAGCGTCCAGTGGCCCCGACCCGGGCTTTCCTGGAGGCTGGGTTGGAGCTGGGCCGGCAGGATGAGCAGAAGAGGGCTGGGTGTGAAGCAAGACAGGAGTTGGGGCCATCTCGGGCAGGGGGACCATGTGCAGAGGCCAGAGAGGGGCACGAGTGTGTGCCCGTGTGTGCGTGCCTGTGTCTATGTGTGTGTGTGTGCCCGTGTGTGCATGCCTGTGTCTGTGTGCGTGTGTGTGCGTGCCTGTGTCTATGTGTGCGTGTGTGCCCGTGTGTGCGTGCCTGTGTCTGTGTGTGTGCGTGCCTGTGTCTATGTGTGCGTGTG